CCAGATGAATCTACCGTTTGTGATATCCTCAATCTCGATCCCAGGTGAGTCTCCCGTCAAAACCAAAAGTGATATGCAAATGAGTCTAATGCGCCAATCTCGTGCAAGTGAGGTTCAAGTAGAATACAAGGCTCATGGAAACTCAGAGGCTGCGCCTACCTGATGAGCCACAAGAAGGGCAAAACGGGTCGTGGGCTGTGGAACAGCTTTCAGCAATTTTATGTGTAGTGTTTTGAAGTCTATATTTCTCCGGCAGTCATTCAGTTCATACAGAAAAAGGCAAAAACTTTTTTGTTGGAAATGAACCTACGACTACTGTCTGCCAAAGTACTCAAAAGTTGCTCAAGCGAATATTGCTGTTTATTGGCCGCCGGCTGTCAAGCTGCCAGAGTCACAACTATATACCTCTTCGTTAGATAGTCATTGTGAATAAATACACCAATTCTGTGCTAATTAACTGTGTCTATAGATGCTCATCGCAGCCTGAAATTTTCGATATAGGACAACCTGAGTGGAATCGTGCTATTTAGAATCGCTGCTACTGTACCAGCTTCAATCTCTTGTGTTTCCGGAGCATAGCAGCAGGTAATACATAAAACCTGACCTTTCCCCATACAGGGCAAATTGGAGTTTTGCCTCATAAACCGACGGCCTGAAGAAAGCGGACGGGTAGTGTTTATTTTAATCAGTACTTCTGACAGGTTTATTACTCGACAGAGAACGACCAAATGATGGGAACCCCGCAAGTACAGATGGTACATTTTCTCGTTTGTCAGAATCACGCATAGTGAGTAATTTCCACGAAAGTGGTTCCAACTGCCATTGCAGCGTATACTACACAGATGTCCTCAGATTAACCTGCTTTTCTGCTCCCGAAACGTAGTTCAGGTATAGCAGAGACGATGAGGTGGAATAGACTGAACTCGAATGTCTTGTCTTGGCCGCACAGAATGTTTTATTGTTGTGCGCTAAAAGATTACAACCGAAATATCCGAAGAGCTCACCTACCAAGTAAAAAGTGCACGTGAACAAGAGTTTTGCTAATATGTTAACAACCGTGATATCTTAGAAGATTTTATAGGTTGATTCTCAATAGCCCGGATACTGCAGACGTTCTCACATTCCTACAAGTGTATTGCGGTACGAATGTCATACAAGCGTCGAGTTCTACGATAGGGCACAAGCCAATGAAAGTAATCAGGGTAGCGAACTTCTGGAGAGCTAGAAACCCGTTGGATAGTAACTGTTTACGGTTCACTCATTTGGTTTGGAATCTTCACAAGGCTAAAAGGACTACGGTTGCACTACCCAAATGTAGATATGTTGAGCGTTACTGTGCTGTTTCATCTGCTTGTACTTGGTTGCTTAAGACCACCTTGATGATTCCTTACATGTTAGGACGATTGTTTCCTTGTGACAAGGCTTGTTGTTTTTTCGGCTTTCCTAGATTGACTGTAAACCACCTTCGGGTTTCAGTCTATCGTGAGTGATATTCTGCACGGCGATCAAGGTCAAATACACATCGAGCTCTGTATGGTTGGCTAGTTCAATCTTTGTTTTCAGACATTAGTGACAGGTGATTTTTTATAGTTCTGATCGGGTGATTAGCATATACCTAATGCTAAAAGAACAGTGTGTGATAAACTTGTGGCTGTGTAACTGGTACCCATGCCAAAGCCCATCATGCCAGTTTATCCTGCTGCCCATGGAATCAGCTGGTGTCGCAAGCTGAATGACAAGTTTTCAGTTAGAATACCTCAAGAAGGCCTGTCCTTACTGAGCGTTTGATGGAACATCAGAGAGCCGCTTTTCTCCGCTACATGTTTGTTGAGCAGGAAAATACACTTTGTTGTAATCCATGGTCGGAAATATAGGTAGTATTTCGTCAGGTGGTGTAGCATACTACCGTAGAAATTGAACTTATGGAGTTAACTATGTTGTTGTGGGTACTGTGCGTGTTCAGTCATCATCTTCCTAAGAAAGCTTATTTTCGTTCCAAACCATGGTTACCAAAGGGTTCGCCGGACCAGGCCTTGAAACTGGGACGTGGACTATCAATAACTCAAGCGACATAAAACTGGAGGGTCTAAGTTTACTGTTTTCCCTGTCTGAAGCTGTTTATAAATTTGGTCGTCACGGAGCAGGCAGGGGTTATCGGACCAAAAACAGATTTAAAAATGGGTCTGGAAGTCTCTGCTTGGAAAGGGAGGAAACTCGGATGCAGAAAATATCGGAAAGCCATGATAGTTTTATACCGCCATTGCCGCCATCAGTAGAGACTACCCGTAAAGCATAGTCAAAGTGACCTCCTCTCGGGGATCGGCCAAATCCGTAGTTTTATGAGACAAGCTATTACCTTGGGCAAACTACACCAAGTATGTTGTTCGTTTTTACTTACTATTCTTTTTTCATCTGGTTTAACTACAATTCCCATAAGATGGGCAGTATAGATGTGATGCCACTATGAGTCACAAGCAGGTACTGTGTGAGCCTCCACCTAACCTAAAATAGTTTTCTGTTACTTATCAATTACTGCCTCGTCTCACAATGAGCTACTTGGCCAGTAGTTCTCAAAATTATCGTTACTTATGGTGCTTTTGAAAAATTACTCCGTTGTCTCACCTTGGTAGAAGGCAATCCAAATAGAGAATCAGCCTTCGATTCGAGGTCAAAATCATGGGTAGCATATACAGTCGATATTCAAATTTAGCTGCAAGTAGCCTGGGACGTCAAAATTCCAGAATTTTTTGAACTATTTGGGTTGAAATACTTAGGTTAGCAGTTTGTATTCAGCAATAAGGTGGACCCTACCTGATAACTGACATTTGCGCTACTGGTTAAGACCGTGGCATGATCAGACTGGAATTACCCAAACTAAACCTCTACATGACAGAGTGGAAATGCTGATTATCTAATGCGAGTTCAGTGATATGCATACTCAGGCGTACAAGTTTTGTGAAGGTGCGCTTAGGAAATAGCGTTAACAGTTCCCGGGGCTCCGTCATTTTTCGACACTACCATAACACTTGCACTGATACACACCGAGCAGCGTTGCACGAAGTACATTCGCTTGAGTTCGACGGTTGTTTATTTGAATGATGGAAACATCTTGTTCTCCTAAAGCGATCATCCATTTAAGCGGTTTGTTAGCTTTACATATGAGTTTTCAACGAGCTGCTGAGTTCCGAATTCCGTAACGTGCTCATGCTGTTCATCCGAAAGACTGGGTTACATACAGATAAGCTCACACTCCATAAGTGGCTGTTTCACACATGGTCTCTTTCACAGAATTTAGCCTCCTGCCCATCGATCAGTGATAAATTTGCATGACCGAAGCGGCGTCTGCTTCAGCAGAGGGTCCCAGTTCAGAGGAGCACTTTAGGGAGTTCTGTTCCCATTATCCTCCATGGATGGCACGATTATTGGACGGGCTCTTTTTTAAAAATAGCGATATATCTCTTCGTTGGATGAAGTTCTCGGAAGTCCGTTGGAATCTTGCTGGATGCGCTCGAAGGGGGGGGGGGTCGGAAAAACCAGTTTCCTGTTCCCAGCATCCCTAAATTACTGTTTGTTCCACTAACAAGTCTGAAAACAGGATATTGGTTGAAATATTATGAGTGAATTTTAGTAACTTTTATCAGACAACCGGCTCGTCAACCACGGGATAACATCGAATTCTGATGCTAGGTTTTCTTGTTACTCCAGAACTCTTACATGGGTTACCAAGAAAATGGAATTCCTAGACTATCAAACATAAATCTGCTCAGTTAAAGTGAGTAGGAGACCGGGTAACTTCCCCTTTTTTCAGAATAAAGTAGCTTTCAATCAACTGGAGAATGTTTGGGACCGATTGGGAAGTCATCGTTTCAGAGGGGTTTGGTTAACAATCCGCCGATTGTTTACCAAACCCCTCTGAAAGTAGTTTTCATTTCCAACTACCTTTAAAGCTTCTTTGCTCACGACCACTTCCGTTGCTCTGTTCTCTTCACGGGATCTGAGGCTGAACAGCTTGAATCGCTCTTGACACATTTCAAACCTAATAAGCACTAAATACAGTTGTAACGTGAAACAGAAGATTCGACTACCTGAACTTCGTAAAATGGTTGCTTTCGACCCAAGTCGATGGAAGTCGGTAAACACTCTGGTGAGCAGGCAGATATTAGTCTGCCAATAAGGAATGGTGTTCTTGTACGTTACACAACTCGAGATGGTCATTCATAAGCCCAAGGGAGTGGTGCAAGCATTAAGAAAATTTAGGAGGAAATGATTCTGATGTCCTTATGCTAGAATACTTCCATCGTTTACCGAGAACTTGTTTACTTCGATTCTCTACGGCTCACATGACGCTTTCCGTTTGTCTAGAGTTATCATTGCAAATTCATCCGATAGGTCTGATTCTGCCAGTCAGTACCTCAAGACCCCCTTTTCAGCACTCGCCAAGCCATTCACGACTGGTAATGCGGACGCGTTATGCAATATTATCGACTGTAAGTACTCCTTGTGTAGGTATTTTTTCCGCCTCAATTGACTATTGTGAATGAACATTGCCTAAGCCGGTAGAATCAGTGCCATATGCTGTTGATTTCCTTTTTTGCCCAAGTGTGTGGATTTTGGCAATCATGGATGTGAGCGGAACGCCCGACGCCTCGAACCACGACCTAGTGACATACCTTGGCTGGGTGGATCGATTGGCGCGCCAGTCAGGACTTCCCAGGCATGCAGCGCCACAGGCGCTTCAAACCCACTGGCTACATTTTTGTTTCAGATGTTGATGGTTGTGGGATTTTGAACACCTACTCACATGACTCTCATTTGATCAATCCTCCTCTCGGCGCAACCATTTTAGTGAGTTCGCACCAAAGGGGGGTGGAGCATTGTACTCTAGTTTTGCTCTTATTATAGCTCGTTAGCAGTGTGTATCCAACGCCCGTGCCGGGGTTCGAACTCCGCATATCTGACATGCGAAACAACCGTGTTAGCACTACTCCAACAGCGGACGCCTAACTCATCCAGATTTTTACGTGAACATGTTCGCGCTTAAGGGATGTGAGCGGAACGCCCGATGCCTCGAATGTCAGATGTCCGGAGTTCAAACCCCTGCAAGGGCACTGGGTATGCACTGCCGATGAGCTCTAATACGAGCGGAACTCGAGTCTAGTGCTTCCCCCCTCATTTGGCGTATACTCATCAAAACATTGCGCGAGGATGATTGTTCTGCAAAATCCCGCAACCAACAGCACCTGAATCATGGACGCGCAGTCTTGAATTTCCCCCCGCGGTCTGCCTCCTTCACGCGACGCGTTCCATGGCGCACCCATCTTAAACAAGAAGCCTTCTGGTCTCGTACCTCACCAATCCGCTTCTGGACAGCTTTCACCACTGATTGGTCTAAACGTTTTTAGCCAATCATTAGACAGGTCACGCTAGATGCTGACTATCACTATCACAGCCGATTGTGTGATTTGCCAGCTGGTCGCGTGACTGACGGTGGTCTGCTCTCCTTCTCCGGCTAACCCGAGATTCGCCAACCAGGGTCCCAATGGGCGTTTTGCACGTTTACGGTCATGATTAACCGTCGTCTGGCTATCGTCAATCCGTTAACGCCATCTAACACCAGCCAGCTGACTCCAGGCAGTTTGTCGCCTGATGGCAAAACACAAACGGCACACTCGAGTCCCGAACATATCACTTCTTTTGTGAAAGCCGCAAACTGGAATAGTCTTCCCTCACCAGTAAATGAAAGAACAATTATTCAGGCTCCCTGTAGCGTGTGCCTCAGAAATGCTACTTGTTCGAAGCTGGATGTGCTTCGTTCCCCGGATTATCAACTAAATGCGAGCACAAGCAGGCTTCCGCCGTATTTCTGCTCATCCCAAATGGCATCAGGCTTGTTAAGCAGTTCTATCCGAAATACTGGCAACAATGTCCAAAGCGTATGCCCGTGGAGTTGCGCAATCACTCCTGTGAGTCTTACCGTTACGGTTATTTGTCTTATCGTCACCACAGGCGATAGTTTTGCTTGTTCGAAATTCCTTCAACGTAAGTTGTCTGTCAGCGTAAATGATGAAGCTTTATGTTGGTCTTGGAACGAACTTTATCTATCCTCTCAGAAAGCGCTTATTTCTCAGTAGTTTGCCCCTAGCTCGCGGTTTAAGTTAAATCATCAAAAAGGAAATATTCATTTCCAGTACGATAATCCCCTCCCCCCATTGTGCTTAGTCCGGCGGCAAACTCTGCCAATGAATTGATACACAAAATCTCAATCCTCTGAAAAGGAACCGGAAAATTTCAGTCGATCGACTTCGGTCGGTCGTTCTCAGAAATTGGAAAATACAAACATGGCTTGTTGTGATGCTTAATTTCCTTTTAGTCATGGTTGACTAGGTCACTCTGAAATCGAAACTTATGTTGACAAGTGAAATCTTGGTCCAAAGAACTGAGTGATAGAGCATGCCACAACACGTACTAAGAAGGACCAGCTCGACGATGGTTGATCTGGTTTCGCTGACCAAATGCGCAAACCATGAGTTCATTTACTTCATGGAGTCTCACTCACGTGCCAAATAAGCCAGCTGAACGTCCTAGGTCCTCAGACAATCACAACATGCGAACATAGAGAATGAAGATGAAACATTGAACGTCAGTCAACAACATACTGATTTCGGGACGGCGGTTGAAGTCACACAGTCAATAGTAAGTTTGCGAAATAATTGGGTTCTAGTTAAAGTTCCGGTGAAGTGAATAGAGAATAATGGTGCACTACCTAATTAAAAATATATAATATGGACAAAGTAAAGCAAATATTTGGCTCAGGTTCTGTTTGCTTGTCATATAAGACTAGGAATCTACCTGACCGCCTCCAAAAGAACCTACCAGAAGGCTGCTATTGGGTGGATGACTTTTTATTGGGTGACACGCATAAAAATTTTATCGGCCTTAGTTAACACAAGCAACGGGGCGAGTTGTACCAAGTGGTTATAGCGCGACTTTACTGACTGGAAGATCTGTGGTTCGAACCCGATCTCTGCCTCTCGACTTCTCTTGTCTAGGCTTGGGCGACCTGGCAGTATCCCAGCCCTCGTGCCTCCTTCGTGGTGCGTGACAGCTAGGCACCGAAAGGGTACTACAACTGAACGATCTTTACACAAGAAACGACAGAAGGACGGTTACTCTAACACTACTCACTATTCTGGGGTTTTGAAGTTTTCACATTTACCCACCGGTCGTCCTACTTGGGTTGTCCTCTGCATTATACTGAAGGATTGATGAGAGATTGCAGTGAAACTCACCGATAAGGATACCTGGAGAGTTTCTACACGACATCAGAAATCTGAGCTCATTATCAAAATCCACGTGAAACTTGGGAGCACGATTTGTTATAGCCCAAAATTCTCTGTTCATGGGGCGTTACGTCCTCAGTCTACAGGCGATTTGCTGCGCCTAGCGAATTCACTGACAAACGCTAGCGAATTTGTGCAGACTTTTGAGCAGATACTGTTTGAGTTTCGGATCGATGCACTTCATCTCAAGACGTTGATATTGAATGTTCACGTTTTTTGGCAAAAGAAAATCCGCTTAGTTGTGAATGCTGTGTGCTTGTTTACCCAACAGTTAGATCTATGAGTTTTCAAGCATTGATTTTGCAAGCGGAAGTATATCTGTATCAAATAGGTATCTCAAACCGACGGTTTGAGTCATATAGGCCTGGGATGGTCGAACTGTATCTTGCGTTTACCGATGTTAGCTATTCACAGCACATGCTTTCCGAAGTACACTGAACGTTTGACTGTGGTCTTCTCAGGCACGACAAATGTTCTCCATTATCAAATAGGCCCAAATGATGTAGTTGTTTGCCGAGATAAATGGGAAATTATAGAAATGTCAGCCGACAATTCTATCAAACACCCAGCTGAAACCTAAGTAGGGTCTCCATCAAATCTTGAGGCAAACAAGATTGGAGACGTCATGCTGTTACGACCCAGCGTACAGGAGGGTGAGAGAACTACTTGTGTGCAAATAAGTTTTGCGATCACAACTGACAGAAAAAGTGAAAAAAAGACTACATAGTAGACAGATTTCTTTCAGCCGAGAAGCGCAGGAGAACGTTGGATACAACACGGATTAATAGCTTAACGTGAATGAAAGAATAATCAACAAGCATAGGCGAGTCTGCCTGTCCTGATTAATATGCACACAAAAGGTATGAATATCGTTACGATGTTCTCTGTTCAATGAATATTCGAGGGGTGAAAAATCAGTCGTCTAAAATGAGTGGTGGTCAAGGGGCGAGATGGGTCAAGTGGTTAGAGCGCGAATTTACTGACCGGAAGGTCCGTGGTTCGAATTCGACCTCCGCCACTCGACATCCCCTGTCTAGGCTTGGGTAACCTGGCAGTATCCCAGTCCTCGTGCTTCCTTCGGGTGGAATGGCAGCTAGACACCGAAAGGGTGTTACAGCTGAACGAGTTAAGGTCTACGCGTGAAAATGTAGAAAAACCACAACTGCACAAAGACTACATTAATCAGTTAGTAGTTAATAGGGCAACAAAGATATGTGTAGGTAACAAAGTGGATCCAACGTGTTCATTGATTTTCATGGCAAACGATGAACTGGAGTTTCTTTTTCTTGCCCATTCACGCCCCGTAGGTTTGCTTCGCAGTTTGACGAGCTATTCCCGTGAGCTAGGAACAGTCATACTTATTTTTCATGATCGGTGACCTGTCTGCGACGCTTGGTTCGCAAGCCGTTCTATGGTCTTCCGGATTTTCTGTGACCTAGTTTTTACCTTTAGTCTACAAAGTTCAAGGTCGACGTGGCTCAGTGACCAAGGGTGAACTTTCTGACCGGAAGGTCCATTGTTCGAACCAAATCCCTGCATGTCGGTTGCTTCAGGCTAGGCCTAGGTAAACTGGCAGTATCTCAGCCTGAACTGTAATCCGATCACTGTAAATGTTGGTTTGTTGGTGAGGGAAGTAGGAAATGCTTATCCCCCTACCATCCTAGTCATTATGAGGCAAGAAGCCAGTCAATTGGACAGATATTTATTACATACTCTTTCTAAATCGTACACGCGACGTTTAATGCATTTCGATTAGGGAGTGCTGCACAACCAATAGTCACCTGTTTGCTGCTTTTGTTAGCATTTCCGGTTCCTGGTGGCTGATCGTCTTCCTTCATGGCTTGATTGAAGCCATTTATTTATTGCGACCATTTGTTACATGTCTTTGTTGTTGGACCTTTTCGAGTAGATGCGTGCTAGCTGTTGGTTCGCTGCCATTGTGCTTATCCGAAGTTAGCCTCCTCTCGCTTCCGGAATACTCAGCGCCCCGTGATCTGTTCGACCTCCGTTCTGAGGTCTGTTGATAGATATATATTTCGGTGTTATTTTGAGGTTCTGTCGCACGGTTTTGTTCCACATGCTTGCCCTTCCCTCATGGCCTTCCCTTCTGTTACCACTCAGCTAGAGGTCCAGCGACTTGTTTATTTGAAAGCTCGTTTCTTCCCCGTTCTTACCTCGATCCGGTTATTTCATTTCCTGAGCCATCTTTATAGTATGAATAGATGTTTCATTCACTCCTTTAATTACAACCCACTGCTTGATATGGACAGTCATACTGGATTCTTCGACGCACTATTGTGTAGTGAATTTAGAATATCAACACCCCCAGACTAATAACTGATGCTTCATTTCTATCGACTAGGAGGGGTAGAGGGTGAAACCAGTTCTTTGTTCGGTTGTTGTGGTACGGATAGCTCGGCCCTTAGCTTTGACAGTCGCGCTGAGATCGATGAAAGGAGTATTCCAGAAGGGCTGAATCTCAACTGTTGATTATGAAAGAAGGGTTCCAGCAAGGTCTGACTGTTGTCCTTGAAAGCAAAGAAATTTGATCCAAGATGTCCAGATTGCGCATGCTGGATGAATATGTACTCCTCAGCTCTTCTGCTCCTACGTTTTGGTAGCATTGAAAAATGGGTTCCCGTCGTTAGTATCTGCATGATCAATGAACCATATTCTGCAATCTTCTTATCTTCGTTCGCGTACCTTTGTATCGAACTTCGTCGAACGCACCACCAACGAATAGAACACAAACTGCTGCTCGCTCATCATATCAGACAGCCTTTCTGATTCCTGCACTCAGAGCAACCTCCACACTAGAATTTACAGAGATGCTGCTAGATCATAGAAATTTCCAGCACTGTCCTCTTCCTGACACTTGATCTTTATGACCTGCTGGCTTCGTTTTTCTTGCTATGTTGCTCGGTTTCCAAAGGGAGTACACTGCACGGGCACAGAATAATATTTAGACTTTTGCATATTGATCACAATGATCCTAGCAGAACTACAAATTTGTATACAAAAACCTTTGGTCGCTCGAATGTGGTCATGGCATCGTCTCTTTCCGTAGCCAAAAACTGACAGAAGGCGCTGGTGAGCAGGACATTCTAAACACTAATATGACAGCACTAATATGACAGCACTAATGACAGCACTAATATGACAGCACATTCAGTTGCCTGAGAACATCATAAACGAGAGATTCAACTGGGTTCCAGGTGAGTCTCTCGAAAGAACCAAATTAGTGTGCAAGTGAGTGTATATTCGCTAATTTCTTGCAATTTGGTTTCAAGTAGAACATAAGGTTGACAGAAACCCGGAGACTGCGCCTGCCTGATGAGCCGCAAGAAGGGCGAAACCGGTCGTGGGCTGTCGATGGATTTTCAGCAACCTTATGAGTAGTACATTACAAAGATATACTAATATGACTCATCTGAAGCTACCCGTGTCAAGTAAAAGTGACGCCACTTCACAGCCATTGAACGATTTGGAATATTACTAAGACATTGCAGCATATCTGATTAACCCTCAGTACATCGCCCTGGGTAATCCACTGGGGAAATTGTTTTCTATGCCGGTGACTCATTTAACTTTTGCCATCCAAAAGCATGCATAAGTGCAGTCTAGGTTGGGTTTCGCATACAGTCACATCGCGGTTGCATCCCTTCGAATGACCTTAGCACGGCCAGACGAAGGCACATTGTCTGGAATGTCGAACGCCTATGTTGAATCATCTGTCATTAAACACGTCAGCCCGAGATGTGTGAATGATGTGAGACCGTAACAGTAGTTGATATGTCATCAGATAAGTTACTACGTAGTTCACTGTGAGACTCCTTGAATTTCCACGAAACGTCTGTTCGACTGACCTCGCATGCGTGTCTAAATTAAATCTTGTGCACCACTAAGAAAAGCCAACTGGCCGTCAAAAACTCGTGTAACGTGTTCGCACGTCAAACTGCAGCTTCATTCTTCTATTCAAGCGGGTTTCACACTTTTCTAATTATATCTATCAGTTAGCGAATCTGAATGCAACATGTCTGATAGGGACGAACACAACGTTGATTACGCAATGCACCACATAGTAGCAACACGTGAGATCAGTCAAACTGTTTGTTGCATATCTGTTCGTCAATGTCACTTTCTATTTAAAGCGAAGCCTCCATTTTGTTGTGAAAAAGTAGGACATTACGAATTGATTTTCATAAAACGCTAAACGTTTTTGCTCTTATTTTTGCTGAAAAATAGTGATATCCGTTTGTTTTGTTTATGATCAATAGCCAAAAACGCAGTTTCTGGTGTACTGCTATGCAGCTGGTGGCATTTTGGGCACCTATTCATCTAAAACGCTTCACGGTCTGAAAGTAAAGACTCATTTTCTGCAAAAGGTTTATGTGTAGGCCTCGGAAATTCTTATTCTACTTCGGATGGGTCTTCAACTTGGCATAACAATCAGTTTCTTAGAATCCTGATTTGACTGTTGGTAGTAGTAGAAACCGAAGGGATAGTGACATGACTATATCTTTGTGTTTGTAAGGGCGACTGGGCTACCTCTGACTAGCCCAAATACATTCTTGGGACGACGACACACTTTCTGTTAGCATGCGTTTTCTCCAAAAATGATGTTTGCTGGTGAAGTTTTTCTTGGTTTTGGGACGTTCAATCCATTTTTGAGGTTCCCTGTAAGCGTAAGCTTTTAAATTAAATGGCTCCTCTGGAATTTCACCACATTCTCTTGGAAAGACAAATTCACCAGACCGATATCCGTTGTTTCACTTGAAATCAGAAAGTTTGACTGTTCGATAATCCCCTTAAGTTCCCTGCCCCGTTCACTTTGTGAAATCAAACTGTCCCAACGAGAAAACACGTTACTGCTCTTATGAGGATCATTTTCTAATTTTGTAATTTATGCAGGACGCAAATGTTGCGCGCGTAGGGTAAGACAACAATGGCGGTGTATTGATCTGTTTACAGACGACTGCATACATTTCCCACAGTTATTTGATGCAATAGGCGAACCGTACCATCACACATGGTCCGCTTTTCAAGTTACATAAAGACACTTGAGCGCTTCATACCATGTAGTAGAGCAGATAACCGAGATTTCATCAATCTTTAGCTTTCCGTTTATTTTATTCAGCCAAAAACCTGGACAGTCAGACACGCATTCATAGCTTACGATGTACCGTTGTTGGTCTTCCCTGCTTCAATCGCTGATCTAGGGGAGGACAGCACTCACAGGCCACATCGCAGTACAGATGTTTATGGCACAGGCATTTTCTACTCTGCTTGATTTCCTAACCCCACTCGTTCTAGTGTGTGCCCACTTTGTGGAGCGGAGATGTAGCGGCATCACCGCAGCACTCTAGCCCAAACACTACGTCACCTTAGCAGTTTATGGTAGAGTTTTTTTGCCTATTTACTTGATTTGAGAAAAACTGCGGGGCATACGCTGTTGCGTCGGATATGTGATTGTGAATCACAACATACTGATGATAATTCCCATGATTCGTTTTTTATTTTCCACAGTCGTCGGGATGGCATAAATTCAAACGACCGAGAAATACAGGTTGAAATATTCAAGCCGATTGTTTCGAAACAAGTTCCGAAAGTATTCCAAAACAATGGTTAGAAATATGCAATCATGTCTGTGATTTACGGAAATGAAATTTCTCATCCGTCGTATGCAGTTTTCAGGGGATTAGAAACGTACCAAAAGTAAAACAGACTAGTGTACAAACCCCATTTCTACATATGCCACAACATACATAGGACCTCGTAGGCATGACAGCTTGACGATCTAAAAACTGATAACCTTCAACTTTGTGATCCGCCGATTTCATCCCTTGAGTGTTATGTTGCCGCCGTCACCGTGCAATTGAGGTGAATAATGGCTTCATAACTTACGTCAGCCACATTCCGTTATCCCTGGCTTTGTTGTACTCTCTCATAAGTCATAGGTGTCACCGGCGTGTTCACTCGCGACAGTAGCACGATTGATCGTGCAGAACAATTCGGGTGAGGTCGTCAGTAACAGAATCGGAGTCTTGGGTTTTCCACCGCAATATAGCTTGCTATCTTCAACGCGCAGATTGTACTGCACTGTATACCCCTGTTTGCTGTTGTGTCTGCACAGCGCTTTCCATTTTGAATAATTTGGCTCCATTTATTCGAAAGTTCCCCGATTGTCTCGCCGTTATCAGTATCTAAAAGCTCCATCTAAATGTAAAAAGCGCAGGCCCATGCGGTTAGAATTATAGGGACAACAGACCGTTGCGCATTTTATACACTCATTTAGGTCCTATACCTCTCGTTGCACCTTGATACAGTGACATTAGCTGGAGGCTGATTTGGTTGATTCATCTGTTGTAGTTGCTCGTCACGCAGTCAAAAGTAGTTTTTATATACAAAAACAACTGAACAATTTGGTGACCTCACGGGTAAAATCTTGGTAATACGGCTTAGATCTAGTAAAATGGTTTACTTTGACCTGTCTCATCAGAGATGGCTTAATTGTCCATCGTGTCTGCATTCGAATGTGTGCATGAGTTGTTTGCCATAAGAAGTCACGCGAGGGTCAGATCGTTACCAAAATATTCGTACTGACTACGGCAATGACCGTTCTTCTCAGGCCTATTCATCGTCTGAATAATATAACTGGATAAACTTTCCAAGAACACCACCCACGTTTGAGCTCCTTTTTCTTCATTTGGCTTGTTTCCAATTGAACGATGTTTTTTTTCAGTTCCACTTGTTTAAGTATGAACCATAATCTCAATGAAAGGCCTTCTAAGGAAAGTGGGATGAGATGGCTCAATAGTTAGAGCGCGAATTTTTTTAC